CCCCAAAACCCCAAAACCCCAAAACCCCAAAACCCCAAAGCTATTTAAAATATGGAATTGTCAAAATGGAAAAGGTCTCTTAATATTGCAGCAAAATTATTAAATTGGATTGGAGACTACATTTTATGCACAGCAAATGTAAAGAAGAATCAACAATTTACTACTGGTTAGTCTTTCTATATTTGGCTTACTCAGACCCCATTTCATTCTTGATGGATTCAATTCGGCCTAAGACAATCTGCTCTATTTCTGAATATGGCTTATTCTGTCTTTCTGCAATTAAGATTTACTCTTCTACGAAAAGATAAATCAGAGGGAAATTACCAAGCTTTTTTATCATACTATTCATCTTCTTATTCTTCGTGACCTTAGAGAGATCAGTCAAATCAGTCCGGCTACTCATTGTGCGGGTTTTAGAAGCAAGCTCTTCAATAGCTTTGTTAGAAGTTATAGCTTTAGACAACTTTTCTTTCATAGCAAACTCCCAAGTGACTTCATTTGGAACCTCCTTGCTGTATTTGAGGACTTCTAGTTCAGGAAATTTGAAGAGGAACAATGTAGACGCTCCAATAAATATTCTATCGTTATGACCTAGCTGAGTTCCTTCGACCGGGAGAGTCTCTCCATTTACCCAGATTGTGTTGCATGCTTCCTTAGCGCAAGGTCTTAAGAAGAACTTTGGAAGATCTTCAGGATAGTTTCTCTATTTTGAGGGTTCTTTTGGGTCCTAAAATAAGTTGAAGTTGTAGCTAGTGGTCCATCAAAATATTAGGGAGTTAAAACATTATTATTGATGTAAACAAGGATTTCAGATTCTGAGATATAAATGTTCTTACCTTTTCAAAAACTCAGTGGTTAGGAAAGATCTCCATTTCGTTTATCAAAATACGAGGCTTAGGGACCCCAGTTGTTCTTCCAACCAGAATGGGTGAGTCTAAAAGACTGTAATACAGCAGTTTTGAAAGTTAAGGGTTTGTATTGAGATTAATCAAACGAGGAGGAAGACCCTTGTGATCTTTTGTTTATTTTTGAGATTTATTTTCTTCTACCTTATCAATACACGAAATATGCTGATATGTGTCCTCCACTTTGTGGTTCTCCTTACTTTCTTCAACTGAGTTGTTAGTTTCAGATATATTGTCAGTTTTTAAGGCTTCAATGCTTTCAAATAAGCTTGTGTTATTTTGAGCCAGGACTCTTTTAGTTGATGAGAGTCATGATAAATCTCTTAAGTCTATCATTTTCATTTTTAAGTTGCTCAACTATTTTATCTTTCACAATGATATTCATAGTGGGCTTGTTCTGGACCATCTTTGCTCTATTGGCATATCTCAAAATACTTAAACTTTCCTCATAGTTGATATCGGCTGGGGATAGGGTGAAGAGCATAGTGGTTTTACAGTTCCTCCCAAAAGCATTTGATAGAACTCTGGTGAGAACAGAATCTCTACAAGGTACTATTGAGTTTGTACTTCTCATATTTGCCTTGTCAGCAAGAATTGTAATAATAAGACCAAGGAAAGCCAAACATTTGGTTGATATTTCTTCATTCCCTGAGCCAATTCGCTGTTGCATTAGGCGTTCTTGGTCTCTCTGAACCAGCCATTTCAACGAATTTGGTGTCAGAATATGTTTCAGTTGTAGTCCCATCAATGATCTCAAACTGATTTGATGAAAATATAATGATTGTTTGTTTCCTGGAAGAAGATTGTCCCATATAAGTTGCCATTATTCACTTATTGTTGTTTTCCTCTTCGAGAAATTTGAACAGATCTTCAGAACGTATAACTGAGTGCTTTGATAAATTCTGAATATAAATTCCTAACTTCTTAGATTCCCTCACTTTGAGACCCCTAGCAGGGACCGATTTATAGTCGACTAATAAATCTTGGATAAGCTCTTTGTAAATTTCTAACATGATCATGCTAACCTTATACCATCTGTCTTGTGTGGTAGTTTCATCAATTTTCTGAAACATTTCTAGGACAAATCTCGCGATGATCCCTTGATTCGACCCATATCCCATCAGGGAGTAACTTTTCCCACTATCTGTTTGGCCATAAGCCAGTAAGAAACTATGATATCCACTCCAGGCATCCTCAAAGAAGTCAGCTCCGATTTGGTCATAAACTTTATGTTGGTCGCCATAATAAGATTCGGATGGAACAAGAAGGCCATCATCTTCTTCTTCAAATCCATTGGATGACCAGAACGAGTAGTCAAAGGTAAAGGTAAAGGTTCTTTGTGTGGCTACATCATAGATCAAAGTGCAAGGTCCATCCATTGCAATACAACTTGTGCAGCCTCTATCTTTCTCTCTTTGGCTCAAGGGCCTCACTCTGATGACTACTTTGACACTCATGCTTAGAGTTTTCTGATAAATATTTAGTTTAGTTTTCGGAAATTTGACAGGGGTTTTGGGGTTTTGGGGTTTTGGGG